TTTGAATCTGAATTTTCCTTTATGACGCTCGCAGTACGTAACTGCGCGAGCCTGAGGACGAAACAAAATCGAACGCGGCGCGCGCGCAAGGAAAAATCTGAAAGAGCACTTGCAAACATTGACATAACCTTCCAAGATTAAACTTTAAGAATATGTTCATGACCCTTAGGACCTGGAAAAGACGTTCGATTCCACCCTTTAAGTTCTCTGGATTTTAATTTCCTTATCGAAAACAATCAAACAACTTGATTTACGCAAAAATCCGCAATTAGTAGAGTTTAACTGAATTGTAGACTGATGCAACTGCTGCAATCTGATTGGCTGAACTATCGTAAACTTTTTAACTATAGTATGATTTATCTGGAGGTCGTCTACAAAATGGCGACTATTTTTCGTTTATCCGAAGTTTAATGTGTTTTTCTGCTTAATAATAGCAGCAAAAGAAAGATGCCTCCCCCAGTTTAAACGTAGGTGTACTTGGTTTTAGCGGGAGCATCAATGGCGACATTAATAGTGTTGTTGTTCTCAGAAATCGCCCTTACTCCCAGATATGACAATAACCCCGCATTGGTGTTCAGACTGTCTTGCTTTAGTTTCAGGAATGCCTGAGCCTCGGCTTCGTAAGCTGCTCGGATACTATCCGCCTCAGCGCGAGCTTTAGATAAAAGCACCCTGGCCGCGGATTCTGCGCGCTGGATTGTAATCTGCGCCTGCGCGAGGGCTTCCTCTTTGTCTGTCCTCGCCTCAACCAATTGCCGCGGGCGCTGGTTTTCAGCAACCTTGATGTTTTCTTTCGCGGCCTCTTTGTTTCTAACAACCTTTTCGTATGACTCCGGCCGCTTTATGCTTTCAACCTAAGTGGAATGGAAGAAACGATGTTAAGAAAGGAGAAACCAGAAACTGCAAGGGACCGCATACGATAAATGCTGCGAACGTAGGGTCTACATGAGATCTGATCAGCCAAAACATGTATGAAGACAAACAATAGACTGCAAGGCTGATACTACGTGAAAAACGTTTCGAGACACCAACATGACAAGAACCGATAAAGTAGGATCGCAACAGTGGACAGCTGTTTCGCCCTTCTTGGGGCTCGTCAGCACTGTGTAGCGAAGATAAGTAACGCCAGCCCAACAGCCAAAGTACGGAACTTGATATAGTGAACAGGTCACTTTGCAATTTATGTGCGTTGGCTGTTGGGCTGGCGTTACATATCTTCGCTACACAATGCTGACGAGCCCCAAGAAGGGCGAAACAGCTGTCCACTGTTGCGATCCTACTTTATCGATTCTTGCCATGTTGGTGTTCTCGAAACGTTTTTCACGTAGTATTAGCCTTGCAGTCTATTGTTTGTTAAGAAAGGAGACCGTACTTAAGGAACGGAGAAAGCGAAAGGGGCACTAAGAATAGGGGATGGGACATAACTTCATTTACTCTGTTTTAGCGTTTTCTTGCCAGAAGAAGCCAGCTGACAATTTAGATTTCTACACTAAAAAACAACTTTTCCTGTCGCGCATTGCATGCGATCTACATGGTTTTATAACTCGGAGTGTTTTCTTAATGTACCCCAATGGTTATGGATGCAATGGTTACTTTTAACTAAATCCCCTTTGGAAGTGAAACAGTGTCACATCAAGTGCAATATTGTCCAGGCCATCTGATCGTATGCTACTTCATTTATTATCTTTGGATTGTCCGTCATTACCTGAAGATCTTCCACGTCAGCCCACAAGGTAGCAAATCGCCGTCCCAGGGTATTTCGGACGAGGTCCTGAAACGAGGCACGTTGTGACTGCAGCTGAGTTGTGTTAAAGCCGCTACAGGCATCATGTATAGAGGACTCGCCAATGCTCCTAAAAGTAAAAAGTACAAGTAGGGAATAAGCAAGTCACCGTGTTGTTATGTATAACATAATACAATATCATCAATGGTGGGCAGTACAACAATAGTCCATTTTACAGTTGTCTGCTTAGTGACCTGGCCTTTGAATGGCAGCGAAGCCGGAGGTGAACTTGTTTTGATACAGACGTCACTGCTTCTGTTGTGTAAATCAAGTTGTTCTAATGCTAACTATGCACAATTACATGACAAAAGCAGAGAGATCTGTATCAAAGCAAGGTCACCTCCAGCCTTACTGCCACTCAAAGGCCAGGTTACCGAGCAAACAACTGTGAAATGGTCTACTGCTGTACTGCCCGCCATTGTTTCCCACCATTGTTCGTAAGAACTTAAAATATTTTGAGCGCTTTAGTTAAGAATTAGTTCATGACTCATGAGCCTAAGAGTTGCTCGATGTGTGGTCGAGAACAACTGTAGTTTTCGAATTTTTCCAAACTTCCATTCTTTTATAAAGAAGCGAGGTATTTTATCCCGCCGGAAGAAGCTTGCATCTGTTACTGTGACATCAAAAAGTGAATTAGAGCATTTCTATTCTCTCCACCCCTCCCCCTGCATCATTAAACTCGCCGGTAGCTGTGCAGAGGCACTGTGAGAGTAAAGTGTCTTGCCCAAGAACACGACACATAAGGGACCTCAAGCAAACCACGACGGCAATGGCAACGAAAGCGTCACCAAACAAAAGGTTTAATGAGCAAAACAATAGCTGTGCACGTGCGTTATAAATCTTTGTACATTTCTAAGCTGTCCTCTGCAAAAACAACGTGAAATGACTAAGTTCTGCGTATTTTGGAGAACACGAACGATGGCGGCTAATTTTTCTTATTTTCATTTGGAATTGAACGCTGGTGTTACATATTTAGCTTGAGCAAGTTCTGAGACCGATAGGCGCACTGAACAGATCCAGACAATTACGAAATTCGAAGATAACATATAAATTCATTTTTTACTAGGCGTTGTCCTCGGGGTCGCCGTTGTCATTGCTTAACCTCCCTAAACAATCCAGGGAGGAGTGCTCTTTCCAGAGTACACTGCGCCAACTATAAGGCCATCGCACCTTTCCCTTAAATTTCAAATTTAACAACGGCATTAGAATTCATCAACAGTTAACTATATTTTCGTCATAAATTAGTAACCTTACTTGAGGATATCCAGATAGTTTTCGCTGTCCTTAAACTGCTTAATGATCTCCACGAGGTTGTTGGGCCGGGCTCGGTACTGAAGCTTGATGAAAAGGTCGATTTCTACGCCATCTTTGTTAAGGCACTCCACGTCAAATGTAATGCTCTGGAACACACTCTTGAAGGTGATGAATTTGTAACCTGGTGCGCCTGCGTGGAGACCTTCCCGCTTCACGTTGCTTGACAGTGTCTTTTGATGGATGTTGTAGGCCACACCCACTGATGATAAAACAGAGTATGTTTCAATTTACCGTATTTTACCGTATCCATGGGCGCTTTCCATTCGACCAAAATTTCCGAAATTTTCGAAACGGAGACAAATGGTACGGAAATTTCCAGGGAAAGGTCCCAGGAAATCCGGAAATTGTTGAATTTTCCGAAAAGCGAACCATTCAAACGAAAATTCTGGAAATTCCAGGATGAAAATCAAATGGAACGGAAATTTCCAGGAAAATATGTTCGAAAATTTGGGTATACCTCAAGAGGTTGTCCTCTTTTTCGGAAATTATGCAAATTCACCATTTTCTCCCTGCGATTTCCTATTCATTTTCTATGCTAATTCTTTTGGCCGCGATCACAGCGAGTTGGACATCACACGCAAGGATAAGTACTGCTCAATAGCTTTTATTTGAATGTTCACACACTAGGGTTTTATCCAATAACTTAAAACTAGATCAAACAAATTGAATTATTTATAACTACTGTATGAAAGATCTTTTTGAAAGGTAAAAAAGGTTAAGTCTGCATTCAAGTCTGTATTCGAGCCCACCAGGCTGGAGCTTATCCCGGTTTCAGTAGCATGAAGCGACTAGGAGTATTTCCACTCCTCCCTGGATGCGATGCTAGTTCATCGCAGGTTTACCCGCCAGCATTAAATTCACCAGTACCAATTTATTCACCTGGGTGGAGAGAGGCACTGTCAGAATGAAGTGTTTTGCCCAAGAACACAACACAATGTACCCGGCCACGGCTAAAACCCAGATCGCTCGATTCGGAGGCGAGCGACCACCGCTCCTCCAGAACATCTTGTAAACAATCAAATAAAGGTTTCGTATTCTTTCAAAACGTATTTTCAGATCTGTTATTCCTCTGATGCAGATATTGATTAAACAAATATTCATTCTGTAACTTGTTGACAAGCTTGTAACATCCCAACATAGTTCTTTGAGATATTTAAGTATTTTACTGACTAATTTATGTATTTTAGTTATTTCCCTGTTTTGTTTATTTATATTTTATGTCCGAGTAGCTATAGATATATTTTTGTTCTTAATCAACTTTTTGTACAATTTTAACATTTTTGAGATCTTCTAGTACTGTTTTTATATGTGTTGCGTCGTTATAACCTTGGAAACCTTCGCGAGCCAACTTCGGCAAGGAACGTTATAGGTAAGAATAACGAATTCATAAATGACCTGGCTCACTTTAAGTTACATCGGCTTGAAGAAGGTAGTCTTGGAAACCCACTCTAGCCATGAACACCGGGTAAAGTTTGCAAGGCGACTGACCTCCTAAAGGGTATCAATTCTCGCGTGAATCGTAGATATTTGTGAGGAGTGTGCATTTTGGCTCGTACATGCAGGGCGCTTGAAAACACAATCGATACAAAATATTCTACACCACATTTACCTTCGTCCGAATCCAGTTTGCGAAGTGATGTCCCCACCATGGCTGATATGAAGATTATCACAACCACAACTACGCCGATAACGACTGAAGCCCGTCTAAAGGAATCGACCATGATTTGACGCTACACCTGACAGATATTTCTAACCGAAGTCGTCGTAGGAAGCTGGAGAGGAAAGTGCGAACTTTGCATAAAGATGACAAATTAGACATCAAATTTGCATTTTATTCGTTTATATTACAATTTGTGTTCCAAATCAGTAATTTTCCGCTTAGTCGAAAAGCAATATCGAAATGTTTACCTGCTATCACGCACGTAGCTCGCAACGATGTTACTTTTCAAAATCATTCTCAATGCGTTGGCGTCACGAATATATATATTATACGACTTCTCTTCCTAACGGAAAGTCAAAACGATTTACTGCATGTCATCAATAACGGAGTAAATATAACTTCCTCAGAAGCTTCTAAAACAACGAGAGCAAAAAACCCATGTGCAAAAATACAGAGAGCCGATACACCGGAATTCGAGTAATTTCAAAGTTTTGCGGCTCAGTTGCCTCGGTTTTGAGTAACTTAGACATTTTTAGCTAATTTTATTGCTGCGGAGCGAGCGTAGCGAGCGAGCAGCAACATAAACAGGATTTAAGAAGAATATATAAAAGGGGATCCAAATTCTCGAATTCATCACTTTTTACCAGAATGCATCGCATTTAACCAGAYTGCACTGCGCCACTTTTTACCAGAGTGCGTTGCGCCACGAACTACAGGAGGACGCCTTTTCGCGTGGATTCCAGTGAGAAAGATTAGTGGTTGTGTTCTGCTCTGATTTACCTGTAAAACGATGTGAAGGAGATTGTGCCTGCTTTCACAACTCTTGCTTTTGTTCTTAATGCATGCAGTATGTGACAGTTTGTAA